AAAAAAGAAAAATCATATACGACGGTATTTTAATAAGAACAAATATTTAAACTTGCCCATTATAACAAAAAATATTACTAAACTAAATATTTTAATATTTCTACGGTATTTTTAATATTTCTTATACGTTCTATGCCACCAATTGATATTAATACATGTCCCAAGTCTATCGTGGCTACTTTGTAGAATTTCTTAAACCCCAAATGATAACGAATTATAAGTGATAACTTGGCACTTCCAACAAATCATTTTCACGGTTAAATATGAGTTTAAATCGTCAAAATTTGTTTCTTCTTGTCCGATAATACAAAGTTAATACTTTAACGGCCAATATTTGCGCAATGATTATCATAGATTTTATTATCTGTATTTCTGGTAATAGGAGATGTTGAATTTTAAGAGGAATAACGGGATATGTTATTTGATTCCTTCCACTCTCAGTTTAAGAAAAAGGGCGCCAAATCTTTGATGAGCTTTCTACTTTTATTTGTTTTCGTTAGCAAATAGTAGGAAGTTTCCATTAACCAGAAGCGAATTTAGGCATTAATTTTGATATCTTGGATTATTCTTACTTACTTTTAATTATTCTGGAAGACAAAAAATATATATAAAATAATGTTTAAGTTTTCCTTAAAGGTCTGTAAAAAAAAAGTAATTAAATGCATTTATAGGAGTAATAATGCTTATCCTTTTTCCATAAAAAATGATCTTGGAAAAGAGACTATAATAAGTTTTAGTAAAAAAAAGGCCTTTTCAGCCTCGATAATAATTAATTTATTTCAAATTCATAAAAATGTTCGCCTCTTCAGGCATCTTCAGGGATAATCTGATGTTACGTGTAATTTAAATTTTTATTCGCTTTGTAAAATCAGATTATCCCTGAAGTGCCAGAAGAGGCGAAAATTTGGATGAATTTGAAGTAAATTAATTATTATCGAGACTGAAAAGGCCTATTTTTCTCTCTAGAAATGGGTTGACATGTAGGAGCTGAAAGGCATACGTTATAATTTAAAATGGTTATATATTCTGATTGTTAAGGTATTTAACTCATATCACTCACAGAAATAAACATGGACACAAAAAAATACGGTGTGTGAGGTTTAGACCACACCATATAATTGAAAACATCAAGAACGTGAGATTAATAGCATGAAATATAAATTATAAATAACAGCCCATTAGAGAGAGGATGAAATGCTGAACATTTGCCTCACTAACAATATGCAGGTTCAATTTTAATTTTTTCAGATATTTTAATCCTCATGCGAAAACACTTCAATTAGTCGACTCCAGCCGACTTTATCCGAGCGTTACACGTCGGAGATCCGGCGGCTCAATCTACTTGCAAAATGCCCCCTAAGGAAGTTTTTACTTCAAAAATAATCCATTTTATTGAATTGCAGCACGAAAGCCTCCCCCTTCTTCTGTGAACCTGACATTACATTAATCTCAGGATAATCAGATTTATATCTACCTCCATTTTTAATGTTCTCTAGTTAATGGTTATAGCCGTTGATAGTATCTCGTCATTTGCGATTGTATTTCCCTCACGCGTTATTTTTCCAAGATGTTTTATTTCATTCATGTTTTACACCAACATATATGTTTCATTAGCGCCGCTATTTTTTCTAGTGTTGCCAAATGCAAGACCGAGACGAGTCTTGGTTTATCGTATTGGTCTTGCGCAAGAGTCTTGCAACAGTATTGCAGTTACTTATTAGCTTATTACTGGAATTTTTTAGATAGGAGAAACCTAACTAAGCCCGAATGAATAATTAGAGAAGTTAAATGCAAAAGTATATTGGTTATACCAATTGTTAACATATAGTAACTAAGATTATTCAAGTAAGTCAAGTATTAGTAACTATTTTGCCTTAACTTTTATTTAAAAAAATCGATTTTTTTTTACCAGCCCTGCTCTTGGTCTTGCAACAGTTAGCCGGTCTTGGTCTTGGTATTGCAAAGTGCAAGATCAAGACCGATTTTGGACAACACTAATTTTTTCTGTGAGATGTATGTGGATCGTTAACGCCTAATAAAAATTTGAATTTCTACTATCCTCACATCAACAAAACGTATGATAATAGATTTAACATGAGGAATGGTGGATCAAAACCTTTTTGTCCGTGGTACAGACTCATTTTTATCAAATAATTAACATTTGGCTGAAACTTCGTAAATAGCTTTATCTCATCGTAACCTACAAATATTTTATTTACGAAAATTCTCGGAATTAGGTCGTTTTCAATCTTGAGGTTGGCAAAATTTGTCTATTTAATTGGGTACTAAAAACTCGTAAATACCCGTTTTCTTTCAACTTGAATCGTAAGATAACTTGAGCACAAAATCGATAAAAAAGGTGGCCTACAAAAATATTGGGCCGTTTGGCCTATATTACCTCGTTATTTTGACAATTTGGGGGTTTAGGTTACGCTCAATATTTTTGAAGGCCACCTTTTTTCGCGACTTTATGCTCAAGTTATCTTACGATTCAAGTTAAAAGCAAATGGGTATTTATGAGTTTTTAGTACCTAATTAAAACGACAAAGTTTGCCGACCTCAAGATTGAAAATGCGCTATTTCCGAGGATTTTCGTAAATAAAATTGTTATAGGTTACAATGAGATGAAGCTATTTACGAAGTTTCAGCCGGATTTTAATAATTTGATAAAAAGGGGACTGTACTGCGGACTAATTAGAAGTCCTTGACGATACGATGTTACGAGTTCGCATGGTTTAGGTGGATTATAGGTTTTTCTATTTAAAGTTTTAAATTTACTCTTCAAACTAATATGTTAAGCTTACAATTTTAATTTTATTACAATTATGAAATATAAATTCGCCTGTCTTAACTATTAACCATTTATATGATTGTTTAATTACGCAGGACCCAGGGAGGTCGCCCCTTGGAATGTCCTGAATCCGCCGCTTCATGCGAGGAATTAAGGAGCAACCAACATAACACTCAGCCAAAGAAGGATTTATAGTTGTTAGTGTTCGTTAATTCCATGAATTATTTCCTTCAGCTGTTTTAATAGTTAAATTATACTATTTTTATTTTACTTAAATGTATATGAATCAGCGTTTCTGCCATGTTTTTTTTAATTTTCCTTTTGGTCAGTCGGATTTTCCCTTTTTTACCCAGAACGAACTTAAAAATCCTTATACAAAATAATAAGTAATATAGGGGACTTTGTTTAGAGCTCAAGTTTTATCAATTTTGGGCAACACTAGGAGTACCCATCCTTCCAAGGGCGATGGCGTATATTCTCTCAAGAAAATTATAGCTCTCCTTTTTAGTTTTTTCTTCCTTTGTTCCTTGGTGTGACAATTTTTTTCAATTGCAATCTTACAATAATATTATTCTCTCAAAAAATTTATAACTTCGTCAACAAGTGCCCTGCCACGAAAACATTGTTAGGCAAGTTTTGCCATGCGAATCTCAGGGTACATCTGCAGTTATATATGTAAAAAAAAAATCTTGTTCAAATGGAAGCCTTCCATTGTCAGAGGCTTGTGGAACTCTTGGACATGCATTTCATGCCCCTTGTCGTAAGCCCTAACTTTTTCTTCATTGCCAACCTGATCTTTCATACTTTCTCCTTAATTAGTTGTTTGATAAAGAACGTACGTAACTCAGATCTACTTTTCGAAAGCACTATCAAATCCTTATCTTTATTTATTGATTTTTCTTTTTACCCAAATATGAGAAACGACACGTCAGTTAAAAGTATCTAAGTATTTTTTGAGCGAAAAGCTGGATCGATTTTTTATGTTTGATATCTTAATTTATTCGATAAGATCCCGTGGGTATTGTGAAACAATTTGAGCTGAAAATACTGACCCATAATTAAATAAAATGTGTTTAATCGATTTGCAAAAAGCAATGTAACGATCTTTAGGGAAAAAGCTGGAGCGATTTCTAAGTTTGATGGCTGATATTAATCAGTGAGGGTGGAATAAAATAAAATGTTTTTAATAAATTTCTTAAAAGATATGTAATATTTTTTTGAGCGATCAGCTGAATCGATTTTTAAGTTTGGTATCTTAAATTATTCGGTGTTTTGGAAGCGAATCAACACAAGGTTAATGAGCTTGGGCTGTCCACAAGAAGATATGTAACAATTTTTCGAGCGAACGGCTCGATCGATTTTTAAGTTTGATATCTTAAATTACTTGGTGGGATAACCTGAGTGGTTTGATACAACTTGAGCTCTAAACACAGACTTGTGATTGAATAAAAATTATTTTAGTTTTTAAAAATCCCACCACACAAATAACTGTATCCTTCTGAAGGGACAAAATGATGTATATCTACATAAAAATATAAGTGAATTGTTAGTTAGTGTCTATGACTATTGAAACTTAGTGAAGTATTCATATTTCTACCACACCCAAACTAGTGTTGCCCAAAATCGGTCTTGGTCTTGCACTTTGCCGCCTACCTGTTCCAAGACCAAGACCAGGACTGGTAAAAACAATCGATTTTTTAAATAAAAATTAAGGCAAAATAGTTACTAGTACTTGACAATCTTAGTTAATAGATGGTATAAAAAATATACTTTTGCATTTAACTACTCTAATTTTCATTCGGGATTAGTTAGGTTTCTCCTATTAAAATAATTACAGTAATATCTCTATACTAATAAGCTAATAAGTAACTGCAAGACTCTTGCGCAAGACCATGACCATGACCGAGTTTACAAGACCAAGACTCGTCTCGGTCTCGCATTTGGGCAACACTAACCAAAACGAAACTATAAACTCTACCTGCATACTATCTATCTCAGGAGCTTTCCGAATATTGATATGCATAGATACATGGAACAGAAGGAGTTCTAATATATCGTGGATGGCACCGGATTACCACTATACCAAGTTTCAATAGTCATAAACACTTACTTATATTTTTATGTAGATATACATCACTTTCCGACTCTTATGACGTATAGAGTTATTTGCATAGTTCGTTTTTTTTTTCGTTAAAATATTTTTTATTTTATGGCTGATGTTGATACACAACTTGACCCAGAGCGTAACGACGGACCTGCGCAGTGGACGCTGTGTCCAGTGTCTTCACACCAAGTCCTCTGCTGTCCAGATCTCGAGGAAGCGGACAAAGGAACAATAAGCAAAAAAGAAGAAAAGGAGTTGAGAGTTAGGCCCCGAGCAATGGCGGCCCACTGGTAATTATATAGTAAATTGGATCGAAGGGGCGATGGCGGATGAAAGTGGTGGGGAGAGCGCACCATCCCTCCCCCACCAAGCGGGGGCCGCCTGGAAGCCCCAGTCCACCACCAGTCCTAGCTAGATACTCTACCATAGATAATCCATATCTAGCCCTAGATATCGTGTATCTAGTCTCTTCATTTTAATCTCTTTTTACATACTCTTTATCTTTTTCTCTCTCTAATGTGTTGTGATTAGCTCACCCCTTCTTACGTAGCTGTTTACCTTTTCTTTGAAATGTCATCTGGGACCAGCTATTATCGAACTCTCGGTAAGGAGAAATATTTTTAATAATATTTATTAGTTATATTCATATTATTTAATATCCTAAATATATCAGTAATATGTATCTATGAACCTCCTAGAGAGATTATCAACCTATCCATTTATTCATTTCAATTTATACAAAATTAAATAAAAACAAAATCGAAACATTTATCAACTTCTTGACGAGTCCCTTATGTTATTCATAAAACAAAAAATTACAAACATCTATAATTTTTTAAACCAACTATAAATGATCACTGAATAAATTTTAAGATCAACATACTTAACAAGCAACTATACAACACAAAACTATTTTTCAATATTTTATTTTTTTATTGATGTATACACTCAATATATGTGTAATTTTTTTTATACAAGTGTATATCAACTTTAGATTTAAAGAAAATAACTTGTGGTATGCAAAATCATACACAAATAAAGCAACATTAAATTGGTTTGTTTAAAATGAAATTATAATAAAAATAATTTTTCGTTGTTATAGTATTAAAAGTTACAAATTTTAAACGTCAATTCTTCTTGAACTGTTGGCCTTTTGGTTCTGACGTAAATATGTTTAAATAATGAGTTTTTTTTTTTAAAGAATATAGACCATTTTTTTAATTGAGGAAATACTAATACTATGTAATCATGCTTCAATTTTAGAAGTTGGTGCTAGAAACTATTATGCACATAACACCTGTTGCAAGAAAGAATATACGTTACTAGTATTTTTAAAAAAAATCTTATGGGATTCACTCATAAAAAAATAAAACAAAAGAACTCTTAAAAAAATATATATAATTCTTATAACTAAAATAATAACAACAAAGAAAAGTATGGAAATAAAAAATAACAATAAGAGCTAATTATGGAATGAATCTTAGACAATTATTATACATGAAGTAAAAAACATTTATATACAATTATGTTTTATATTTCCATGAAATAAATAACTTAAATTGTGTGTTATTATTATTTTTTATAGCATTATGTGTGTTAATTATTTATAATTCGAATGAAAATATAAATTATAATGCTCTTATGAAACCTTTTAGATTAAATGCAAGCTTTAATCAGAAATGTATACGTCTTTTTAAATTATAATTGATCACCTGTATTTTTACATCTTGATTTAATATTATTTTTTTCCAGAATTAAATGTACAAATGTTTTTTAACTTGATTAATTGATTTTTCTACTTATTTTTCAAATTTGCAATCAAATTTATGTATAAATGGAAGAGATAAAGAGCTAATATGAAACTACCTAATATTTTTTATTAAATTTAATACCGAGATGTAACTACATTCATAGAACATACACGAACTTGAAAAGACAAAATGGTGGACCCGTTATAAAAGAGTTACTAACATCCGATCAAATAATAACAGTTAATTTTTCGAACAAATAACGATAAATATATTTTTGATACGAATTTCAGGCTAAGGTATTAAAGATATTTTAAGCTTAAACGGAAAAAAATTTAACGGTCGTTTTCATGAATTCTAAATGCATATATTAGCGGTTTAGCCTTGGAAATAGAGAGATAAGAAGAGTGTAGAATTTCGCTTGTAGCTTTTCGCATTACTAAAAACCATAAAATCTTTTCTAAGTCAAATACCCAACTGTTGGTAAACCAGAGTTCTATAAAATCTTGGTACTATACAAGACTTCAAAACTCAAATAGGCATAGAAATTCACGATTTTACCAACATATTAAACATAACTGTAAATATAGAGTAATTGTATGTAAATTATCGATTATTTCTATTGAATATTAACTACCATTGCAATGAAAATGTTTACATCTCGAAGCTCTTGTATTTAAGAAAATAATCCTTTGTTTGCTCGCTTAAATTTAAATCCTAAATGCTGAAGACTTTGGTAAAGCCTGTACTACGAGTTATATAGGCTAAACAAAGCAATACGTCTTATTTATTGAACAAATTATTGTGTGAATATTTCAAAAAATAATACTGAACTTTCAGAAAGATTCCTTAAAATGATTTAATAAAATAACTAAAAATATTGCTCATTTCAATGTTTCTTTATATTCTTGTTTAATATATTTAGGTTTTTAATTCTTTTTACGGAATGAAATTATATATACAATGGATCAACTATCAACTTCAATATATTCTCCTTTATACTATATGAGGGCTAAACATAGATTTTATAAAGTATAATAAAGAGAAAATGATTGCCTTAGTATATTATCTTCTCAATTTTTGTTTTTAATATCTTAAGCACAAAGTATTAAATATGAATTTTACATTATACACAATTATAAAACTTTAGATTAATTGAAAAAAGTCATCAAGTAACATTTTATAAAATTAAAAAATACTTTTGTTATTTTTCCATCCGTGAAATCAGAACATAGTATAATTTTCATTTTTATAAATATTCTGTTAAATAAGGTCGAAATTCACAAATAATGTACTTGAAATTTTAGCTCTATCGAAAATGTATTTAGTGACTTTTTAAATAAATCGATGATTTAAATAAATACGGAAACCTTTTAACTCAAAAATAAAAATTTTACATACAGTATGAAAAAAATATTATATTTTTTAAAATAAACTTTTGGCTTCAACATGAAAAAAATAATTAGAATATTCTTTCATTTTCTGTAAAAGAATTTGAATTTTTTAGCTTACCTAATAAGTACGACGATGTACTTTTTTGAACAATAGTATTTAATAATTTAATTTTAAAAATTCATTATACCAAGTTATAGTATGTTGTGCACAGATTTAAAAAAAATAAATGAAAATTAATAACACCTGATTACTGAAGTTCCAACTTCCTGTTTGTAACGAGATTTAATATTTTTAAATTTAATTAAATAAATGATGAATATGAATCAAGATAAAAATGTTTCATTACATTTAAGAGTCAGAAATACTGTAGTACGGTACAAGCAAAATTTGAATGGATAGAAGAATTTAACACTGTTATAATTAATTTTCAAGTAATGTAATTTGCATAATAATAATTTTAATTAATTTACATCTCATATAAAATTGTATTTTTTGTAGCTAGTGTTCTACCGAATAGTATAACGATAGTTTTCTATTATTCCAAACTAAAAAAAAAAAAAATTAAATTGAAACAAACTATCTCGAAGAAGCGGTGTAATTATGATTGATTACAAATCAAGAATGAAACAATCGTGATTGGTCACGCAGTATCCGGTTCCGATCACGCCTAAAATACAAAACATGACTCTATCCGTTCTCAAATTCGAAAAAATGGCTCAAAATAGCCTCAAGTGCCAGCGCTACCCGAGGAGCAGCATGACTAAGCTGCCAGATAATAAAATGACTAACAGTTAAGAACGGCCTTGCTCCCGAGATAAGCCCAGGAGAGAGGAGGACTTAACATGACTTACCTGAGCTTAGTGAAGCCGGTGCGAAGTTGCTCCTCCGAGACGACCGTAGCGACGGCTAACCCCAGACTGGATACGGGACTATCTCTGCCCGGTTATCGTATATTTGTATGATAACACGTATATATGGACCAAAGTAATCTACGCTATAAACCTACTTATCTAGAGATATGGGCAACAACCTGCCTCCTGCTAAATATGACCTTGCACACCTTCATCCGCCATCCATCGACAACACTCATTGATAATTATATCTTTACTATTTTCCCATTTAAGATAATAACTTGGGAATTTATATTTAAAAGAAAACATTTAAGATGAAGTTTTTAATTCTCTTACAAAACCTATTGCAAAATAAACGTTAAATATCCCCCTTTTACGCAAATTTTAATTATAAGCCATAATAGGGAACCGTGTTCGTTCCTATAATTTATTTTTTTCTCTTTCTTTTACAGACCTTGTAGATCTTTTTCCGTCTTAAAGCCTTTTCCATCTTTCCATATTCTGGGCTATTTCTTTCCATTTATCTGCAAGTAGCATCTTTAGCATATTTGTTGATTCCATCTATCCATCTGGTGTTTGGAATTTCACGTAGTCTCTTGTCTACTATTGAGGTATTAATTTTAATGCCCATCTTAACCTCCTTGATTGCATATCATGAGATATTGATTGTACAGTTTCAGTAAGCACTTCTTTATTGGTCCTTCTCCTCCATGCGTTAGTACTCCGATCTCGGATCACTACGGTTATTCATTCCTACCAGAGATGGGCAAATGCTACTCTGAGTACTGAGAATCATTTTACTCAAATACTGATAATTTTTGAGTACCAAAGTATTTAAGTACTACTTCATTTGATGTCAAACGATTTACTGAAGCAGTGATTGAATTCCCAATAGTAATTCAATTTGAGTAAAATACTTGGTATTCGGTACTCAGTAGTGTTGCCCAAATGCGAGACTTGGTCTTGCGAAATCAGTCTTGATCTTGGTCTTGGTCTTGCCCAAGAATCTCGCAACAGTTTGTATTTACATATTAGCTTATTACTATAGAGATATTACTGTAATTTTTTGGATAGCTAAGCACGAAAAACCTAAATAAGCATGAATGAAAAATTAGAAGAGTTAAATGAAAAAATATGTTGGTCATAACAATTCTTTACCTACAGTAACTAAAATTGTCAAGTATTAGTAGCTATTTAACCTTAATTTTTATTTTTAAAAAAGAAGGTATTTACCAGCCTTGGTCTTAGTCTTGCAACAGTTAGTCCGTCTTGGTCTTAAGTGCAAGAGGAAGACCGATTTTGGGCAACACTAGTACTCAGAGTAACATTTACCCATCTGATTCAAACAAACCAGGGCTTGAAATGGAAAAATACTTTTAGTTTCAAAAAGTTTCGGTATCACTGGAATTTTTACTGTCTACAGTTTTCAGTTCTTTTGAAACTAGAACTTTTCCCCAAGCATCTTATCAAGTAAAGGTTTTATAGAACTCTAAAAAAAAAAAGTTTATGTAAAAGTTCTCTCGATTTCGCTAAAAAGTCTATCTAAAAAAAAACTTTATTCTTAGCTCGAACAAATAACACTTATAATCATGTACAATTACAAGACAAATTATATCTCTAAATTAAGCCCAATAACTGTTTATTTCTCTTTTAACTGGACTTTTTTTCATAACTTGAATAAATACAATTTAAAGGTTTACCATAACTGGAAATTTGTTACTATAATATTCCTCAGAGCCTTTATTTAAAGAACTATTTTCCTAAAAAATACCACAGCAACTGTTAAAATGAAACATTTTATTAAAAGTTTCATACAAGTTTCAATCCCTGAAATAAACAATACGATATTATTAAGAAACTCTATTCGATCCCCACAGTTAGCTGAAGCTTTAATACTATATAACTATTGTTAAGGTAACAGTTTACCCATAAGACTAAATAAGACCACCAAGACGATGGTTGTTATAAGGGGAGTGTCTCAAAATATTAATTGAAAAATAATAAAAACATAAATAATTTATGGTACGTATCGAAATATAAATTGAATAAATAAAATTCGATATTATTCTAGTTCCCATTTAATTATTATTCTTATTTATAACTTATTATAATTAAGTATTAATGTTAGTTTTGTATATTTATTCAGTTCTATTGATTTATTGTTATTTTCTTTTCTTCTTAGAATCTCTGAATTATTTGATTTAACTTCCAGTTACATTTCTTTTGTATTTATTACATTTTTTGCCTTTATTAAAACTTTTTTCATAATATTTTTTATTTTATCTATTATTTTTTTTATCGTTTTGTACATATGGTATAATGTATCTCGCTCAGCTATAATATTGCCCTTAAGTGTGGCAAAATGTATTATTTCCTAATAAAAAGATGTTTCAAAAAATGTACAACTAGAAAAAACGAAATCGAAAAAAAAAAATTATTTTAGGTTGATGGGTTTAATGAATTGTTACTTTTCCGTTTTAAAATGACTTAACTCGCACCTCCAGTATTGAAAATTAAAGATATAATTAACAAACCATAATATTTCCTGCCAACTAACAAACCATTATGGTTCTTTACGGATGAGAAATAAGGCTGCATACGTTATTGAATGAACAATGCCTTAGGGTGTTTGAAGATAAATAATTGAGTAAAATTTATGTACGGAAGAAGATCGAGTTAAACGAGGGCTTTAGCAGGTTACACACCGTCGAAATGCGTTAACTGCACCTGCAACAATATAATTCAGATGATGGCTTGCAGCTATTAAATTTGCATGTGAACTTGTAGGGCTTAATGGAATTCATAAAAGGTTAATATCTGCTGTGCCCACTGCTAACCATCCGAGTTATATAAAAATTCCAGCTTTTGCTGTATTAAAATTCCAGAGGAAAAATGGTGACAGGGTTTATATAGGACTCAACTTAAAATTTAAAGTCGATTGATAAGTCAGTCTGTAAGTGAAATTACATTTTTTTTCTTATTTTATGTTTTACTTCTTTGTACTTCAATTCAAAGCCTTCTCTATTGCTTTGTGTAGTATTTGAGAAGATCAATAAACCAGCTAAGTTTCACCGAATTTTTTTTCACAGAAACAATATATTTTTACCAGTACTGGTTACAGAACTATGTACAATTTATTAAAGACATAAACGTCTGAGAAGAAATTTTTACTATTGAGTGGGAAACGGCGTTTAATCCCCAATCAACATAAGGACTAAATTGTAAACAGCAAACAGCTTCTTGGATTCACTTAGGTCAAAGTTTCGAACTCCTGTGGCTGAGATAAACAATAAATAGACATCACATTTATTTTAAAGCAGGGAATGATTCATAAAAAAACTAAATTATTATTTAGTCAAGGGTACAAGTGTTTTAGTATGTAGTTAAAATATGGATTTTTTATTACAATTTGATTTTTTTAAAGAATATAGTACGAGGTGTGCTTTCGAATCTTGATTATGAAACAATATTAGCATTGGGGATGTTAACTTTTTCTTTATTCCTTATAAAAACTTAAAATCTAAAAGCTCTTGAGTACTGTTCGGAAGAGTTGTAATTCAGTTGTGTGAGGATCATAAACTCAGGAAAAATATCCTCCAATAAAATAGAGTTAAAATAATTATATATCTTTTATTTTAATACGAATTAAAATTTAATTTTTTTGATGGGTGCAAAAACGTTTTAAGTAGCATTTTAAGTTAGCATAATTCAAAAAACGTTTCTGACACCCTTTTCAGGAAAAAAAAATTACTAGGAAAAGACTTTTGGTATTTGTAATTTCTTATACACTTGAACTAATTTAATGCCATCAGCAATACATTTCTTTTTTGTTTTAAACAAAAAGCCAAAAAATTGGTTGGTATATATTATCTTTTAAATCTATGCAGAGCAAAGGTAGAAAACAAGAAATATATATATAATATATTTATATATATATATATAATATATATATATATATATATATATATATATATATATATATATATATATATATATATACATATATATATAAAACATTGGAATTATATATATTTTCTTCCCCCGTTGGGAAGACCCCTTGAATACATATCAAATATTTATTGACCAAGAGAAGTTTCATTTGAATCGGCGATCCTCTGTCCCTAACCACCCCATGCTAATATTTTTTCTAAAAACGAAATCAAGATACGAATGAAATTTGAAATATGGTTCAAAACCAGAAAACTTGTTCGCTAATGGTGGTCTTTGTTGCATTTTAAAAAGAACTGAACATCTATATTAAAAAAAAAAATTATTGCTCCTCGACATAGGAGGAAAACTAATGACATAATTACGAAATAAAAGAACATTAACACAAGTAAAAATTTTAGGAAGGAATAGTAAAACCAGGATTTTTGACATGTAAGGCAGTTATAGTGTTAAAATCCTTGAAGCCTTTTTGGGTTAAAAGATTAGACAATACGTTCTAAACCGAACTAAAACAAGGTTACAAATTCTATTTTCAAGGAGCCAACCGTAGGATTCTGTCTCTACTTAAAAACAATAAATAAATAAATGAAGTTATGGACAAATATGCAGTTGAACTAATATTTTTAAACGAAACAATGTTTCTGTATTTTCTTTTTTTTTCTGCTAAATAATCTTTTAAATATATTTAAAAAAAAGAAAGTCGTTTCTAATCCAACTTGATAAAAAATAGAAAATAATGGTTGATGAATTTATGTTATTAAAAAAAAAATTAATAAAAACAATATTTTTATATTTGAAGCTTACATGATTATAATATAATTGAGTTGTAGTCTACAAATTAATTAGATCAAGTAATATTCGGCTGAATAAAGGATAAATATAAAACACTCAATACTGAACATAAATTGCAATAGATGTTTTAATATATATTAAAAAACTGTGGTCATGAGTTAGATATATTCTTTCAAAAACGGTATTGAACTCATTTTACTATCAATACAAAATTGTAGAAGAATCGATTTCTGGGCACTTCTGTTTTGACTAAGTACGAGTAAAATCATTTACTCTGGGTGATAAATATTCAGGACGCATAAAGTTTTTATTTTTGCCGACGTTTTAACCCAAACATGTGGGTCATCATCAGGTCGTGTTTCGAGCAGTGGAGATATTCAAGCCCTGATGATGACCCACATGTTTGGGTTGAAACGTCGGCAAAAATAAAAACTTTATAATGACTGCCTCCTGAATATTTATCAACAGTCGACCAACTTCCTTCAAAAAACATTTACTGAAT